TCTTCTCCCATTCCGCATTTCGTACGGGGTTTTTCCATATACCGTTGATTTACTTCTATTCTTGTGAACTGCCGTACATGCTGATTCGGCCCAGAAACTCAGAGGCATCTTCGAGTCAGCCAACAATATTCTTGTTATCTCTATTACAGATTTATTCGCTCTCTCTACTATTCCATTACACTGTGGCGTTCTGGCTGGGCTAAATTCATGCTTTATTTCCTTCTCCTGGAACCATTCCTCAAAATCTGTTCTTATAAATTCTCCTCCGTTATCCGATCTAATGGCCTTCAGTTTTAATTTCGACTGATTTTCCTAATATTATTAACTTTTTTAATTTTTCGGCCGCTTCACTTTTTTCCTTCAACAGTTCAATAAATATCACTCTACAATAATCGTCTATAACAGTATATATCTCTTACCGCCACTGGAGAATGGATTTATAGGACCAATCAAATCAACGTGCCACAGTTCCATTATTCTTTTTGTCTTTCTACCTGTAAGTCTAGAGTGCGACTTTCGACACACATCTTTCCTTTCACACATGGCTCACACTGCCTCTTCTCTTTATTGGTTTCTATCATCCCTGTAACAAGGCTCTCCTTTTTCATTTCCTCAATAATCTTCTTATTAGCGTGTCCAAGTCTCTTGTGCCATATATCTGTATCTCCTATCATCGCTGCTTTTTCATCGTTCAAAAATGAAGATTTCACGTAGTATACGTCATCCTCACGTACAGCCGTCATTGCTACTTTATTGTCTCTGTAAACGATAGCTTCATGTTTATCAAAATTTACTTGATATCCGTGATCAGTAATTTTCGCAACTGACAATAAATTCATATTCATATCTGGGACGTTCAATACATTTACTAATCGTATTCTCTTATTATTTGGTTTTTGTTGTATTACAATTTCTCCTCGACCATTAAAAGATAATTTTTTTCTTTCTTTGTCCGCTAAAAATATATCTCTTTTTTTCTTCTTTTAAGTTTTTAAGTATAACTTCGTTATTCGCCATATGGCTCGTCGCGCCTGAATCTATCAGCCATACACAATCTTTTGAATCATTCTTTATTTCCTTCTCATTGTTCATATCAGATAATTCTGTACTTACATGCAAGTTATCTCTTACCGACAGCACTGCCTCATCTGTCGTTTTCAACGTAACCTCACTTCGTCCACTGCCTCTTCCTGTTCCTCTACCTCTGAAGTTTTCTTTCGATCCTCTCCCTCGTGACGTATTTCTTTTCAGTTCCTTGCAATCGGCCGCAATATGATTATATCCTTGGCAATTAAAACATTTTTGCTTATTCTGACAGTTGCTCGATATGTATCCCTTCATTCCACAATTATAACATAATATGTCACTTTGTGATTTTTCTCTCGCTTTCCTCACGAATTCGTCTGTCAATGTCTTCTCTTCTTTGCAGTTATTTTTCCTCAATTCTTCCTGTTTCAATGCGTATCGGATATCATTAACAGTCAGCTCCCTCTGTGTTTCTAATACTCGAACGTTTTGGTCAAATCCAGGCCTCAATCCTTTGATTATATGCATCCTCAGTTTGTAGTCCTCTATGTTTCTTCCTAGTTGGACACACTGATTACGCAAGGCTTCCGCTCTATTCACATATGCGTCGACACTCTCATCTCTATTCATTCGAAGGGTCGATAGTTCGCTTAACGTTCTTGCTTTCATTTGCTCAGTTTCTGCCGCCATATTATTTTTGATCAAATTCCATA